GAATAGTTAGACTTGATTATATTTAAACTTGGTACTTTATCTTACATTACTCATGATAAACGTTAGCTTTTTAACCACTATTCTGATAGGAATTCTGTGGTTTATAGGATCGTTCGGCTACCCCTCCCCCCTCCCCCCTCCCCCCACCCTATGGGAAATAACATGGGATCCTATGTTATTCCTATGGCTATACTTTAACATGGGAAGGCTCCCATAGGATAACATGGGGGACACTTTTGCTATGGGAAAATGCGATTACATGGGTTTCTATGGGATTACAGCTTAAGTCTATGACATAGGGATAACATGGGTAATGCTAAGTCTATGGCATAGGGATAACATGAGTAATGCTAAGTCTATGGCAATAATAAGTCTATGGACAATGTATCGCGAGCTCTATTCCCCAGGAATATTCCGTCGCGTTGTTCCAGTAGTTTTTAGTCATTTTATTATAACTCAATGTTTTAATCTGTAAACTCAATGTTTTAAGTTTGTAATAATAGTTGTAATCTTATCTCAAGGATTGACTCTTACTCGGAATCAATCCCAAACGCTGTATATAAGAGACAGGCTGTGCTCTAGTGCCAGCAGTTCTCCCCAAAACCCCGTTGTAATAACATTAAAGTATTTCTCAAATAAAGTAGTTTTTGCTAAAGGCATCGAAACCATGTGTGCTTTCGCTGCCACCCACCTCTTGGGCCGGTAGTACCGCCGGTCAGAGAGCGACTGCTTCTCTTGGATCACCTATTGTGATCAGAGAGACCTAACTCTTGGATCGCCTCGTCGGGATCAGGGAGTTCTCTTGGTTTGCAAGTAGCAAACAGGGAGACAATTACGAGAACTCAACAGATAAGTAACCGTCGTTCGCAGTCAGCGCTCAAAACTGCCATCCAATACATCACTCGCGGGCGAAACAACATTGAGCTACACCACCAGTAAGAAAGCCCCCGCGATAAATGTTAAGTTAATGGCAATGCTAATCCTATAGACAATGTTAAGTCTATGACATAGGGATAACATGGGTAATGCTAAGTCTATGACATAGGGATAACATGGGCAATGCTAAGTCTATGGCAATGGTAAGTCTATGGACAGTGCTAAGTCTATGGCAATGATAAGTCTATGGGTAATGCTAAGTCTATGACAATAATAAGTCTATGGACAATGTTAAGTCAATGGCAATGCTAATCCTATAGACAATGTTAAGTCTATGACATAGGGATAACATGGGTAATGCTAAGTCTATGACATAGGGATAACATGGGCAATGCTAAGTCTATGGCAATGGTAAGTCTATGGACAGTGCTAAGTCTATGGCAATGATAAGTCTATGGGTAATGCTAAGTCTATGACAATAATAAGTCTATGGACATTGTTAAGTCTATAACATAGGAATAACATGGGTAATGCTAAGTCTATGGCATAGGGATAACATGGGCAATGCTAAGTCTATAGCAATGCTAATCCTATGGACAATGTTAAGTCTATGGCATAGGGATAACATGGGCAATGATAAATCTATGGTAATGAGGATAACATGCGTAATGGTATATCAATGGTACAATGGGATTATAAATGAATCTGCCATAATAAATAGAACTAATTGTTGTCAAGAACATTTAAAATTTTCAAAATAATAATAGTGAAAGTATTTCAATAATATTATTGTAAAATTTAAAATCTTTGATACATTTCCCGAATTGTGGTTAACGCATAGCATCGCGTGTGATCCTTGTTTATTATAAAATTAAAATTATCAACTGATTTGAGTTTTTTTTAATAACATTGATGATTTTTAAAATACTAAACTTTTATTTCTCATAATTTAATAATTAATACAAAATGGCACACAATTTATTGAATGTTGTATTAAGTTAAATGAAAAGTAGGAAATGTAATCGACGACAAAAAGGAAACTTTATTAAAATTTCAATATTAAAAAATTATTTTTCTAAATCTATACAAATATGATAAATTACCAAATTATTTTAAATAATAACATGTTCATTTTATAGTAATGCTGTGACGTAAATTGAATTAGTTAAACGTAAGTTAAATACAAAAGTAATTCGCGTTTATAATAGTTTAATAAAACCTAAACTAATCATGATTATTATTTAATAAAATATAAGTTACAAAATTTCGTAAATTTATTGACACGTTTATGTTGAATTATTTTGTGTGTGTTTATTCATATGATTTTGTGTTAAAACTTTAATTACAATCAATCAAATGACAAATGATTTTTCTCCCAAATGTATGATTTTGTTTTGAATCGGGTTTAATATTTGTATTGCAATTTTCTTCATTAAAGTTGACTTTTCATTCAAATGAAATCTACTTTAATTTGAAATTAGTCTCTGTTTTGTTGTGAATTTTTTACTACAATTTTCTTCATTACAATTAAATAACTTTTCATTTAAATAAACACATTTTTGTGCAGAACTAAAGCTTAGTTTTAAGGCTTGTTTTGTTGTAAAACATTTGTAACATTCATTGAAATCGGAAATAAATTTCTTTTGTAATGAATGCTAATTATGTGTTCAACTAATTGTGTCTTTAATTTATAAGTTTTATTACAATTATTAAATTCACAATTAAATTGTTTTATTTCTAAATGATTTGATTGCTGTGTTTTAAGCACCGATTTCTGTGTTGTCTTGTATTCACATTTAGGCCAAATTGAATGATCAAAAAATTTGTGTTTAATTAAATGATTTTTTGCTTTAAAACTTTTGTGGCATTCATTGAAATCACAAACAAATCTCACATTTAAATGAACACTATTTTTGTGATGAATTAAATGTGATTTCTGTTTATAACTTTTAAAACAATTAATAAAATCACATTTAAATGGGTATAAATATGAATGAAATGATTGATGTCTATTGAGTTCGTATTGAAATGTTGTCTTGAATTCACAATTTTTTTCATTACATTTGAATTTCCTTTCATTCAAATGAACACAACTTTTGTGGAGAAATAAATTGTGTTTTGTTGTAAAACTTTTGTTGCATTCATTGAAATCACAAATAAATCTCA